CGGAATTTTCCGCCGTGGGGCCCTCGGGGTCGCCGAGGACCCCTATAAAGTGATGGGTGGGGGGAGGTTTGGGGTCGTTTTGAAGAGGTTTAGATCTCTCTTTAGGTCTTTGGTACCCCCAAGGTCTCCACTGTGGGACCCACTGGGTCAGCAAGACTCTCCCCCTTCCTTAGCTTGATCTCCACATCCCTAATCCTAATTTCCCTCTTTTCCATACAGTCCTGCCACTTCCCGAAACTCTTTGGGACTGATGAGGAGCTGGCAGATGAGGTAAAGAAATCACACACACTGATTTGAGGGTTCCCCACCCCAGGGTTGTGGTCTGTGTTGGATTTTGGAGAGGGTTGTTCATATAGAGCTGTTGGAATTCCTGGTGTTTTGGTTTTCCCCTTAGGATTTCCTCTCCGCTGTGGAAGATGCAGAGAACCAGTTTGTGATCCCTGGAGATTCATCACCCAGCCATGTCCCAGTTCCTCCCACTAAACCTCATCCCACTAAACCCCATCCCACTAAACCCCCTACTCTCCGGCCCCTCGCTGGCCAGGGGGAGCATCCCATGGGATTCCAGGGACCCCCATCCAGGAGAGCAGCCCCCCAGGATGAGCTGGATAATGACCTTTTCCTGGCTGCCTGTAGGGAGCTGGAGGATCCCAAGGTGCCTGTGGGGGCTGGTGCTGCCCCATTGCCCCCTGGGCACTGGGAGAAACCCCCATGGATATGCCCAGGGAAGGAGAACCCCCAGGAATGTGGGATCCCCAAAAAGCTGAGGGTGGGAGAGGAGCTGAATCCTATCTCCAAGGGGGTGCAGGACAGGCAGGACTCCCATCCCACTCCCAAACTGGTGCTGAGGCCCAGCACAGCTGTACAGCTGGTACCTGCCCCCCCAGACTCCCCATTTCCATGGGAAAGCCTGGAAGCTCCATCCCCACTCCAGGGGCTCCATCCCCACAGCATTTCCAAGCAGCCCTGGGGGGGAGCAGCTCCTCCTCGAGGCTTCAGGTGCCTCAGACCTCCCCAGCACAGAGCTGCACCCCACCCCAGGTGCCCCCCAGAGCCCCCTCTGGCCCCCCCAGCTCCATGGAGCCCTCGAGGCCACCGCTCCGGCCGTGTCCCAGATTCCCAAATCCCCCCGTGGTTCCCAACCCTTCTGGGCCCCCACAGACTCCTGTGGCCCCTGGGCCCCTGCAACCCCCCATGGTCACCAACCACCTGGTGCAGCTGGTGACAGCAGCCACCAAAGGCCCTGGGAGATCCCCCCAAATCCCTCGGCGCAGGGAGACACGGAGATTCCCGGGGCCTGCTGGGATCCTGCCCCAGCAGGTGAGTGTGGGGTGGGACAGGGACAGGATGGGCGTGGAGATGAGGATGAGAGGGGATGGAGATGGGGCTGGGCTGGGAATGGGAATGGAGATGGGATGGGATGAAGATAGGATGGAACAGGATGGTAGTGGAGATGGGGATGGATGCAGATGGGAATGGGGTGAGAATTGCAAGGGGTTGGGGATGAGATTAAAATGGGGATGGGAATGGGATAGGATTGGGACAGGATGGGAATAAGGATGGGATGGGATAGGAGCAGCTGATAAAACAATGCAAATCCCTGGACATCTCCCTCTTTCCCATAAGCACTCTGGGAAGCTGCTGGAGGAGATCCTGGTTTCTCCTCCTCAAATTCCAGCTCATGGGGCTGTGGCCAAGCCACGGGCACAGGTAACACTTCCAGTCCCTGTCCTGCTCTGGCAGATCTGGATGTGAATCCCACCAGCACTTCTGGGGGCTCCCAGAGGGGGATGCTGGAAGTTTGGGGGGTCCCAGGGTTCCCCCCTTGCTGCTCAGCTCCAGGGTGGTGACACAGTGTCCCATGACTCCAGGCACTGCCCAGTTCCCAGCTGCCCACGGAGGAGGATTTTGGGAAGGGGCCTTGGCTTGCCATGAAGACAGAGCTGGGGCTGGATGAGAAGGATCCCAGCTGCTTCCTCCACACCTACAGCGTGGTCATGGTGCTGCGGAAGGTAAGGGGGCCCAGGTCAGGGCTCCAACCTTGGGATTCAGCTTCCAGCTCTTCCCTCACCCCTTGGAGCTGGTTTTGAGCTGGGAATCAATGTGGGGAGGGGACTGAGCTGGGCTGACCACACACATCCATGGGGCTGTGGGTGTGACAAGGGGCACAGGATCCCAGAACATCCCACGCTGGGAGGGACTCACAAGGATCATCGAGTCCAGCTCCTGGCCCTGCCCAGGATATCCCCAAATCCCTGTGTGTGCCATGCAGGCAGCCCTGAAGCAGCTCCCAAAAAACAAGGTTCCCAGCATGGCTGTGATGATCAAGACCCTAACCAGGACCAACGTCGACGCTGGCGCCGTGTTCCGTGACCCGACAGGTGAGTGTGGCTGTACCTGTATCCAGGTGGGAACTCCTGCCCACCATTCCCAGCGCTGATGGATCCCATCCTCATCCCTAGGGGAGATCCAGGGCACAGTGCATCGTGTGCTGCTGGAGGAGAGGCAGAGTGAGCTCCGTCCTGGCTCCGTGCTGCTCCTGAGACAGGTAGGAGAGGAGGAGGAGGATCTCCAGCAGCAGGAAGGTGTTTGGGGCTGGTTATCCCATGGGCAGGGGCTCAGATCCTTGGGGAATGGGATGTAGGAATTACTGGGGTGATAATACAGCACATTACCTTTCCCATTACTCATTCCATAACAGCTTGGAATTGTGACAGAAAAATTTAGGATAAGGTGAACCACCAATGTGTTAATAGGGTACAGCACTTTCTCTATTTCCCATGTTAGAACAGCCTGGAATTGTGAATATAAGTATTAGTAGAAGGGGATAAAGGAATATTGGGATGAGGGGATAAAGAGAACTACCAGTGTGTTAATAAGGTACATCACTTTTCCTATTCGCCATTCCATAATACCCTGAAATTGTGAGTATAAACATTAGGATAAGGGGAACTACTAGTATGTTCCTACAGTACATCACCATTCCCATTCCATACTCCCCTGGAATTGCACACGGAAGTATCAGAAATGGACCTCACACAGTTCTGTACCTCTGATTTTTCTCCAACATTCTTACAATCTCACCCTTCACCTTAAAATGTTTGAGTTTGGCATGAATGGAAAGCTGTAACTTGGGGGAATTATCCAGGAATTCCTTGGCAGGCAGGAGCTGGAGCTGGCTCTGACCCCTCTCATTCTCTCACAGGTTGGGGTCTTCTCCCCCTCCCACCGCAACCACTACCTCAACGTCACCCCCAACAACCTGCTCAGAATCTTCCCCCCTGAGCCCGAGGGAAGCTGCTCCCAGCGGCAGGTGAGGAGGACATGGAGCTGGTGGCCCTGGGAGGAGGTCTGGGCTGAGGGAACCCTCAGGAGGAAGCAGGAGGGATAGATAAATCCCCCATGGAATTCATCCCTGCTGGGTTTTGCAGGTCCCTGCCCAGGCTAGGCTGATCCCAGACCTCCCTGCACAGCCCCCCAGGGGTGACACTGTCCCTGGGGACTGGGGACAGGCAAGGACAAGTGGTCACAGCACAGAGAAGCATCCTGGAGGTTTCTCCCTGCACCCACCGAGCCCTGAGCCTGGGCAGGAAGAGCCAATGGGAGCTGATGGATGTGACATGGGTGAGTTGGACACGCTTGGATGGGGAGGAAAAGCTCTGTGTCCTGTGGAAAACAGGTTGTGGTGTAAGGTGGAATGGTAAAGGGGGTCTCAACCTGTCTCAGGTTGCCCAGAGAAGCTGTGGCTGCCTCATCCCTGGAAGTGTTCCAGGCCAGGTTGGACAGGGCTTGGAGCCACCTGGGCTGGTGGAAGATGTCCCTGCCCATGGCAGGAAGTGGAACTGGATGAGGTTTAAGGTCCTTCCAACCCAACCCATCCCATGGCTCTATGATACGTTGAGTTGATTCCTTCTGTCCAGCCTGGAACAGGGAACAAGGAACAGGATGAGAGAAAACAGCCTCAAGCTGTGCCAGGAGAGGTTTAGGTTAGATATTGGGAAAATTTCTTTCCTGAAAGGGTTGTCCAGCTGCCCAGGGCAGGGGTGGAGTAAATATGGAGAAAAAAGCCCTGGGGATGTTGTGGCACTTAGGCACATGGTTAATGGTGGCCCTGGGGGAATGGTTGAACTCGATGACCTTAGAGGCCTTTTCCAACCTGCATTAATTCCATGATTCCATACACATATAACACTCATGGATTTCATCCCACTGTGCTGTGCAGATGACCTGGATGGGCTCCTGGGAGAGCTGCCTGAGGATTTCTTCTCAGCCCCAGCCCAGGCTGGCTGTGGCTGATCCTGGGAGCTGGGCATGGCATGGGTGGTCCCAGGACAGGAGCTGCTGGCACAGGGTGGTGCCATGGCCTGGTGAGGATGACGATGCTGAGGAAGCAGGTGACACACCAGCCACCTACCTGCTCCTCTCTCTCTGTTGTTTGTTGTGGAGCTGAGAGCTGGAAGCACTCAGGGAATCCTGGGGGGGACACAGCCTGAGTGCTGTCCCCTCTCCCCTTGGCACAGTTTCCCCTCTTGTTCCCAAACCTGCATTAAAGGGCTATTCTGTCCCTGCATCACACGTGTCCTCATCTGTCATCCCTCTGTCCCTTCCTGAACCCCAAACCCATCTCCTGGGGAGATCCCTGCTCTCCCTCTCCTCCCTGGGCAACGAGGGGCTGTTCCCCCTGGAGTCTCACAGGGTTGGGGTACCCCCAGATCCCACCCCTACGGGACATCCCCACAACAGGTTAAACTCCCTGGCACCCCGTGACTCTGTTTACCACCCAGGAGTTATTTATAGGGCTCCTGGCTGGGACTCAATTCTACATCCCTGTGTAGGCCACAGCCCTATTTATAACCCCCCACCGCGGCGTGGGGGGGCTGTCAGTGCCCCCCAACTCTGCCC